ATTTCCAGTCCCCATTCCTGAATCTCTGGATGAAGTCAATTTGATCATGGTGTATTTTATGTGATTTTGAATTCAGTTTCCAAGTATTTTACTGAGAATTCTTACATGTGTATATCCATCAAGAAGACTATACAATAACTTTCCACTTTGGTTGTATTATCTGTGGTAAGGTATTACTGAATTTGCAAAGAGAGCTTGGTAGCATTTCATCTTTTATTTTTTTTACTTTGTAACTTTTCTCTCAACTTAAAACTACTTTGAAGTCCAATTTCTTCATCTTAGCAGATTCTAACACCTTTATATAACTGAAATTTTACTGAATCTTTTTTAGCATTCTCCAAGCACACTAGCTGTCTAACAAATTTCTCCTCCAATAAGAATAAGTCTCTTAGAAGCAAAGTTCAAAATTCTAAAAACATCAGATTCTAGACTGTCCTACTTCTTCCTTTACTTCCATAACGTGAGATACAGACTGAAACTAGCAAAGATTCCATTTCTTAAGGAATTCTTTTCAATCACTCACAGCTGACAAGAATCAATTCAGAGCTATACTACATTATAAACAAAACAAAAACTACTGAAACCAGTGTTCTTAAAGAGATGAACATAATATATGGCCACTTGGGAATACTGTTCTCAATAATTATGTAACAATGTTCCCTGAATTATACTCAAATACTAGAACAATGCCATTATCTGTTAATACAGAATCTGGAAAACTAGACTACACTTACACATGAGCAGCAGTACCCTGCCCAAAGGTGCATCAGTCTCCAGGTCACCTTCCCTTCACTGCTTCCCATGAGTCAGATAGGACAGCCATCATGACTCAGTTGAAAAGACAGAGAGTCTAATATTGCAAAACATTTTCAAGACTCCAAAATTCTTTTGGCTCTAGGTCTGACTAGTAAAAGATTATTGCTTAATTGACACATGGATTTCTACTTGCATTATTTCTTTATGAAGTTTTTAGAACAATCATCTATCTCAACAGTGAGGCACCTCTTCTAAATTTTTTAAAGAGCATGACACTACAGAATATTTCCTGGTCAGCTTTCAAAACATATCCGAAGTGTAAAGAGCAGGAAAAAGGATAGCCATTCCACTCCTGATACTGTCTTGGGATGTCTTCTTTCCACCCTCCCTAAACTTCACTAAATGTCACAAGAGGATTCACATTACATATGCTGTTGGGAGAAGGCAGGAGAAGGTGATAGAAAAATAAAGCAAATTCAGGTTTCCCTGTATTTTGGGAAGATTCTTAACTACAATTATCTACAACATTATAATTTATAATCAGAGACTTTTACATTTTAAAGATATACTTAAGTATCTGACGTTCAAGAAAAACAAAAGCAAAACTTGAGCAAATTTATTTTTAAAAAGTCAAATTTTAAATAAAGGCCATTATACAAGGCTTTAAAAATTTTCATAACATCATATTTTCTCTGTCCATTCTAATTACATCTAAAACACATGTGGTGATTAGAATATTAATCTAAGCCACTTGGTTTAGCTGCTGTTGGTACTCTCAGACCATTTTATTCCTATGTAAGAAATCTTAAGAAGTAGTGATACTTTAATCCCTTACACCAGAGTTTCTTTCTACCTGGTATGTGTGCTGCTGGGAACCAGAGGAACATTTCCATCTGGAGGAGGTCACTTTCCCAGTGGCTATGGCTGTTAACAGAGATTTTCAACTGGATAAGATCTAAGATCACCTAGGAAACAAGCCTCTGGGGAAGTCTGTGAGATTTTTCAAGACTGAGGTAACTGAAGGAGGAGATACATTTTAAATTTGGGTGGCACACTTTCAAGGGGTAGAGCCCCAGGCTGCATACAAAAGAGAAAGTGAACTGAGTACCAACTTTCATCTCTCTGCTTCCTGACTGCAAAGATAATGTAACCAGCGGTTTCATGCTCCTGCACCTCGGACTTCCCATCACTACAGACCATAACCCTCAAACTGTGAAGTGAAATTCACCTTTCTTCCCTTAAGTGGTTTTTGTCATCAAGTGTTTGATCAGAGCAATGAGAACAGTAAACAATCTACCTACAGTTGCTATTATTTAGCTGGAAGCAGAGGGAACTCTGACTTTCTTTTCTCCTCACTGGCTCAATGACAGCCACAGCTTTCATGTTTCTTGAATAACAACATCCTCTTTGTAGACTGTCTGAGCAATACACACTACACAGGTTCTTCAGAATCTCAAAAGAGAAATCAAAAAACAATAAAATTATATAAAAAGTTATACAAAGGAAATGGTTGTTCCAAAACTTGAAAATTTTAACTTAGGCTCCATAGTCCGGACTGAATCCTATAGAACTAGACTATTCTGTGGAAGCATAGATATAATTGTTACCTCTAAATTGTTACCAGACAAGTTCCAATCCTTGATCTACTACTTACTTGTTTCTTTGTTGGTTTTTTTAAATTAATTAATTAATTAATATCCCAGTCAGCCCCGATTCCCCCCTCGCCTTCTTCTCTGAGAAGGGAACCCCCTTCAGGTTATCATGTCCCCACCCCCTCCTCAGGCACATCAAGTCACTGCAGGACTAGGCATATCCTCTTCCACAGAGGCCAGACAAGGAGGCCTAGCTAGGGGAACGGGATCCACAGGCAAGGAAGAGATGCAGCAACAGCCCTGTCTCCAGTTGTTGGGGGACCTGCACAAAGACTACATTGCACATCTGCTTCCATGTTTCCTTATGCCTCAGTTTTTTTATTAGCAGAAGTGTGAGGGTTGATTGAGTGCTGAGCTGGAGTGAGTGGAGACTGTCCAAGTCTGTATGGTCCAACTGTCAGTGTTTCCTATCCTCCCCCTACTGCTCTTAAAAAAAAAAAAAAGATTTGTCTTACTATTTCCATGTACAGGTATGTATGTATGTATGTATGTATGTATGTATGTATGTATGTATGTA